TCCTAGGATATTCACTAAGATTTCTAGCCCTTTGCATGAATATACCTATGCGTTGAAGATTTGAATATTATTCCTCAAAAGTCATACCTTTTGAGTCATCCTCTGAAGAATCCGAATCTTCAGAATAATCCGAAATTAATTCATAAACCTCGTCATCTGAATTAATTTTGTATCCCCAAACTGGCTCATATTCAGAAGTTTGGCTTTCAGCGTTGACTTCTAAAAATCTTATCGCGGCCTTCTTCTTTCCCTTATGAGGGCATCTATCCGCAAAATGATTTTTGTCACCACAAATCCAGCAACAATTACAATCTTTTGCGTTTTTGCTAGATGGACAAGTAGCACAATACTTATGCAGTCCTCGTTCCTTAGCATTGAGTCTACCCTTCCCTATTCGCCTAATAAACCTTCCATGATCTAGAAGATTCCTTTTATTGGTGACAAGTCTTTTCACCATATTACGGAAACGTTTCAGCTTAAAATTCTTTTTACCAAATGATCATTTCCGTTTCATATGGTTTTTCCAACTTCGATGTTTAGTCGAATTCCTCGACTCACAGCCATATTGTCCTGGCACTCCATCAAAGTTTTGACAACAAGATTCATTGAACTCAAGTTTTTTGGCCTCTTTATCCAATTTGGCATTCAAACATCTTGTTCTCATGAGTTGTCTAACAGCTTCTATCCTTCCTCCTAAAGAATCAACAACCTGATTTTTTTCGACTAGAAGCTTAAACACCTCGTTTGTTGCCTTATCCCAATCACCTTGGGTTTCTTTGGCCACGAACTGGGCATACCCTGGAGGCAATCCAGGATATTTTTCCTGCAGACTTGCCGCAAACTAATCTAGAACGTCCTGACCACCCATGGTCAATCTGAATCAATCCTTAAGCTAGCTACAAAGTCTGACTCTTAATATGGTTAAGGATCCAAATCCAACTGGGATTCGACGTACCAATAAGGAATTACCGCCTTAGCCTTTTCCAACCACTTATTCCAAAGTTCCAACTCGGCAACTTCAATAGTTGAGATTCGACAGATAAAGCATAAAATCTTTGTGCACCCTTGACTAAAGGCCTTTTGGATAACATCCAAAAGTCGCTTTACTCCTAGCCAAGTCAGATACTCTTCTCAAATATCTGGGTTTCCGTTACAGAGTTCTAACACGACCCATTTAACCTCTTGTTCTTTATACCCTTCAATAGGCCACACTTGTTCAATGTCACTTAGAACCAAGGACATCTCCTATTTTACTGGCTTGGTAAAATAGTTAAGATGTGTTCCAGTGTCTTGACCTTTTGAAGTACAGAATTGACCTTTTCAATTTGTTTTCCGATCTGAGTCAATTCTTCGTTTAGAGCAAATATATGATACACCATATAATTTACTCTCCTGTCTAGGTTATCAAGCTTCTGGGTCAAAAGCTCTAACTTATCTATGACAGTATTTAATAAACCAATCTTCGGTTTTCCCTCGAGTCCATGATCCAAATGAAAACAAGTCTTATTTACACAAACTTCATCATTTAAACCATTATTCATGCTATAGAACTTTCAACAGGTTAACAGGTCTAAATACCCCTGTCTTCCAAAGCTCTGATACTATTACACCCACATAATATTTGTTATACCCTGAAAATATCAGAACCGAAAATATAGTAGAGACATCTGGCATCTCAAGAGATTACATTACTTTGCATAGGTTTTCTAGTATCCCAAACAAATTTATCTGTATATATGATTCAATTGTGAATAGTGATTATTCAGAAGTCAGGACAAGGCACCAGTTATTTCCAAGTGATGGCTTGACTAAAGGATAATATTTAGTATATTTATTGTAAACTGAAAACAACATATTGTTTGTTTCAATAAAACATTCAAACATTGCAAGCCACTTGTGGTCACAATCGCCAAGGCTTATTCAGCACAGAGTAATAGCAAAGACGTTCTCAGCATACAAAAATCGACCATTTCAATAGGCGTCTAGGATTTCCAATAAAGAAATTAGGCTTCAATGGCCTTGAACATAAATATTATTACCAATCAAACGGAAGAAAGTTTGGAGTTGAGGTCTTGTATTATTTGATCTTCATGATCAATAAGTCCGGTGCATTTAGTTTAAACAAGGATAATATAAATGATCTTTACCACTGTAGACATCTTATTGTTAGTAAATGAACCATATACGCAGTGGAAACAAAAAAAAAAAATACAAGGATTGTTTAAATGAGTCAAGATCAAGGGTGTAATTTTACAATTTATACTGAAGTAAAATCTGAACAAAAAAGTTAATCATGAGTTTAGAAAAACATACGCACATTTGGAGGCTCCTCCAAATTTGTCAATGAACGTTTTGCTATCGATCCAAGTGTAGGATCTAACCCACGTAGTCCATACGAAGACAATCACAAAGAACTAAGGAGGGATTTGCTAGATTCTCCTTAGTCTTAAGAATCAAGAAGACAAATCAAATGAATTGATTTTGGGCAAAAATGGATTCTGTTGTGGGAGTGTAAATGGGGCTGTGTGTTTTTGCTTTTTCAAAGAGAAAAATGAACTAATGAATTAACTCACACATTTTACAAATTACATTTTTCTTTTATAGTAAAACTTTAATGCCCTATTCCCATATGGAATAGGCTTGGCTCTAACCCAAACACCCCATGTTACCAAACACTCCCAATTAGATATTTTATATTTATTTCATCATTATCTCAATTAAAATCAATTAATATATATTTAATCTATATATTAACATTTAACAATAATGATGATTTAATTAAATATATGCGAACACATATTTAAACGTAATTTCACTTATTTAATTTTTCTAATAAATTAAATAAAGGCTACGACTTCAGCAAATTTAATTACACTGTGAAATTACCAAAATGCCTTTTTGCCTAAAAATATGAAAATGCCCTTCTTTCTTCCTGAGTTTTAAATTATCTTCTATGTGTGTGACTCATAGGCTCCTCATCATATCGGCAGTGTATAGTATCGCGATTAATACTAATTAATCATCTCACTGTACACAGACCAAAATTGGCCCCTGGCAAGGCATCATGACCACCCGATAGATTCGGATTCAACAAAGTAGCTACCTGTCAACAATATGGTTACCGTACAATTCGATCATTTCATCATACATTATCTCGACGAAACGAAGGCATAGAAATAGTGTCAACCTTCGGTTACTCTCGATATTATGTATTCAGTTTCTGAACCAATGACCTGTATTATAATCCGAATAGAGCAACAACTCAATCCCACTGTGGCCACAGTTTTAGTGTCATTGCCATATACTGAATTACGCCGTGAGATAACTTCTCCTGTACCTGGGAGTGATAATCCTCTGTCAATCCACCATAGTCTTGATACACTTCTTGACGCAGCCATTCACCACCGTATTGACAGCTCTGAAAAGAACTGCGTTAGGCTAGTATCAAACTACACCAATCGGTGCACAAGATGCTCCGGTAATCTCAAGTCTAAGGATCACATGCACCACCATTCGTTAGAGGATTTGTTCCATAGACACTGGGGTTACCATCCATATGGAATCCTCTGATGGGTCAGTCCAGTGAACTTGCTACGGTGTATTCGCCTACAGCAAGCACTCATGTGTTAGACCAGGTTGTCACCAAACAACCTTGACAAGTAAGATTAGTCACTGTCTTTCGACAGGGTAATTCAACACTATGATAGCCTTACCGTATTATCTGTGCCCTTACTTCAGAATAATACTGGAGCTACGGACGTTTCTAGAATGACCACCATATGTGCTCATAGGGTTCTCACTATTAAGATTTGAAATACTTGATACTCTCGTCACGGTTTTACCATTCTAAGGACATATATCAATACATATTGCAATAATAATGATTTACGCGTTATAGAATAAAATGTCTTTTATTGATTAATAAACATTATTACAAAGAGTCAATTCCATAATGATTTATTGGCTCTAGGGTACCTACTTCAACACTTATGTGACCCATTAGATGGATCTTATTTTTGTGGACAACTTGTTTACTCTCTTTGGAAATTAAAGAAACAGTAAATGACAAGTGTTTAACCAGACTAGCTTGTTAGTAAATGAAAAAAAAAACTATGAATTGAGGGTGAGAAAATATTATCCATAATGGTACTTACAGTAATTATCATTTGTAACATGAAAGTTAGAAGAAGACAAAAAGTTTTAATTGCGCAAAGGCCACTGAAGAAGACAATAAATGAGCTGGAGAAGAATTATTCTCAATTGAAGAGACAACAAGTTTGACTGGAGACTGGCAACTGTGATACTCAGTGGAGGCAACAATATGTAATTGGTTATTATCATTTTTTTAACGGAAAATATGATCTCATGACACTGTTTTGATGAAAATTTTCTAGTCTGATAGCAAATTCCTTGGACCAAACGACCCAAAATATTAAACTGTGTTTACTTATCTTAGTAATTTACCTAATTTTAAACTTTAATTAATTTTCTAAGATAGATGAATAGATGGAAATGTAATAATTGGTACCCATGTAATGGAAATATGAACTGGAGTAAAATCTGGGGTTGAAATTAATCTTATGTTCTTGATTTCATTTGCAAGTAGATTTTCACAAATAATGTATCTTATTGCCCAGGGTTATCTTTTCCCCAAATTTTCAACAGTTCTAATAAGTTGGTCAAATTTGGATTTAATATACCTGAATTAACTTTATTCAATCAAAATGATACAAACATATTCGACTTCTTGGAATCTTGTTTTTTAGTGGATTCTCTGAATATACCAAACAAGATTTGGTATAATCCTTACATAACCACTCTTTGAGGGGAAAAAAAAAAAAAAGGTAAAAAGATCTCTTGACAAGCCACTTTTATCACTCCCGAGGTCTTATTAGAATCATTAATGATCCATAATCCTCTTATTTTTGGTAATTGGTAAAGCAAACCACACAAAAAAGCTTGAGGAAAGCAAACACATAACATCTTAACAGGCATGAGGATTAATTGGCCTGGAGGTATGCTTCAACAGCTTTGACCATGACGGCTGTCTTTTCTTTTGCCTTGTTAATCAAATTCTCTCCGGGGACATCAAAACCAGGTAAGGTGTAGAATTTCACAGTGGACTTAAAGATGGATCCTCCATCAGAAGATGACTCCCACTTGGTCTCGTAACTAATTTTCTCGAATTTGTTAGCCAACATGCCACCTTCAAAGATGGTATAGCAGTGCACGAAGTTTTCTTTGTCTAGTGCATCAACCTTTTGCTTCATGTAACTGTCGTCTGCATAACGAAAAACAATCAAGAGTTAGTGCTATTTTTTCAAGGATGCAACAAGTTTTTACAACAATTTAGTGAATTAACTAACCTTCCACAAGGTTAACTTTCCTGATGCTTCCAGCCCCTCCATCACCTTCGATGAGTTCGGCACTCTTAATAGCTTGTGACATAATCTTGGGGAAGAGTTGATCAGCGTCAACGACAGAGGCCTTGAACATCTTGGCTGGGGGGAGGACACTAGCGACCTCAATTTCACCGGTGACAACTCCCATGATTACCTTAAAAAGTATAATAGTTTAAGTAACTGAAAATGAAAAGGAAGAATGAGAAGTGATTACTGATAAGTAAGGAGATTTGATTGGTGGAGATGTTAGAAGTGGAGGTGCTATTTATAGGCCGGGGATTCAGAATTTCATGACACAGAGCTGAATATTTAAATCCCTTATCTTTTTTATCACGTAATCTGGCTTGACTAAGGATATGCCTTGCCAAAAAATTTCCTTGGACCGCATAGAACCTTCTAATATTAACACAACAGATAAACAAAACAAAATATTAGTTCCTTTGTAGAAGTTTTTAAGTAATATAAGTAGAAGCAAATGGAAATCACTGCTGCAAGATAGATTTTACCATTGACAGAAGATTAATTAACTTCAAATTTGTAGAAATTAAAGTGTTAAATGTCCATGAATTCTCGATAAAGTGCACTTAGTGGTGATGGTAAAATTAGTTGATCTTAAACGTAAGAATGGAATAACAATAAAGTCTGGGTAATGTATTTAGCTGTTAGATCAAATACATTATCAGAGCCTATTTGACTTGGTTAGTGTTTTTGATCTTGCATATGGAATGAATCGTGTGAGTTAAAATATAAATTATTGTTGTTTAGAAGTTAAATGTTATTACTGAGCCCTTTCTTATCTGGGATTTGGAGTTTCAAAACAAACGTTCATCGTTCTTCTTCTTGGTTATTGATTTTTCAAAATGAAGCCATGACCATGGAAGCTGTATTATTAGAACAACAATTAATATATTAAAACTGGTCATCACCTACCAGTATAATTGTGACCATGTGCTCATCTTCTCCAACAGTACATTAACCATTATTCAGATATTATATTCAACAGAATGTGAATTATAAAATAAGACATTATTGCAGTCAAGGACTGTGTTCTGCTTTCAAACAAAAAAGTGGGCATATTTTTATTTGCTCTAGGCAACATTCTATTTTAAAACTGGTTTCATTTATGATGGTATTGCTTGCGTGAAATCGCGGCTATATGGTTGATAATACAGCTTCAAAGACTGGCGGTTCTATAATGAACCACTCAACAATAATATATTGACCTGAAAATAACCAAAAAAAATATATATATATTTTAATAATGTAGTCTCTATCTTTACTAAAAAATAAAAATATTGCAGAGACCATTCCTTATGAACAAGAGCTTGCATCTGCATGAGTTTGCACAAGTTTTCTGGTATCTCAAAACTTAAATTGTGAATATTGAAAATTCAGGATGAGGCACCCATCATTTTCAAGTGAGGGCTTGACTAAAGGATAATTATTAGTAAATAGTGATGGCTTGACTGAAGGATAATTATTATTTATTAGAAAATTCATCGTAAACTGAAAACAAGAGACTTTTTTGTTCCAATGAAACAGTTCAAGCCACTTGGTAGTCTTATTAATCACAGTATAAAGAGTAGAAGACATTCTCAGCAGACTAAAATTGACCTTTTTAATAAGCATTAGGATTTGCTAAAAGGTAGGCTTCAATGGCTTTGAACATTCCTGAAGACTTTTCTTTCCCGCCCTTGATTTGCTCTTCCTTGATCTCAAAGTCGCCAACGGTGAAGTACTTGCAGATGGATCCACCATCTGGAGAGGGCGCTACCTTGATCTCATGAGTAATTTTCTCGAGTGAACTCATTAATGCATCACCCTCAATCACAATGTATCAGCAGCTGAAATCCTCTTTGTCTAATGCTTCAACTTTATGCTTCACATAATTGAATTGGCTGCCTGCAATTTAGAAAATAATAAACTAGTCACTTTAGTGCTATCATTTTCTGCTATAATATTGAATTATGAAAAAAATATAGTAGGTATCATAAATTATAATATATGATGTCTAAGTTATTAAGTTGTAAACTAGCCTTCGCCGAAAGTAATTTTCTTGATGCTTCCAGGCCCTCCGTCTCCTTCAATGAGTTCAATGTTTTTAATGGCCTGTGGGACAATCTTAGGGATAAGTTTGTCACCATCGAGGACAAAGGCCTTGAACATCTTAGCTGGAGCGAGTATTGTAGTGACCTCCATTTCATAAGTGAATACACCTCGAAAAACTAACTCAAGTGAAGAAGGAGTCAAATCACATATATGCATTATAACAGCTCACTAAATTAGCAATCTGAGATATATAAGTATAACTCCTAACACTTATATTTATTCATCTAATCAAACGATAGCCATGGAAGCTGCAGCAATATTACAGCAAGAATTAACTAGAGAGTACCACCTACCAGTGTGAATTGAATTTTCAACAACATGTGAATTATAAAATACAAAATTCTGCACATTCAACTTAGATGTGAATTGAGTATTTTTATTTTTTCTACCTTAAATATTCCTTTAAAAAAATATAGTTTTGTTTATAAATACAGGATGCTTGCGTGAAATGTGGTTATATAATTTATAATACTTTCTAAGTCCATCCGGTGATGCTATATTATAGTTATCAAGAAAATAAAGCCAGAACGACTTCCACCTACCCAAAGTTTAGCATAAAGAGAAATTGATACCCAAAAGGTTTAAAAATAACAAACAAGTACTTTCTATCATATTCTGTTAGGGATTTCTATCTGTTAAAAGACAGTATAGTAATTTCATCTACAATCACAAAATTTTTAAATTTTAAATCTTTTTCTCTGTATCTATTCTCACTCCAAGCCCGTTTGCACAGCCCTCTTGCATTATCAATCGATTTTTTGATCGGATCTAGCATTTTTCTGCAAAGTTTGATGATAAACAGTGACACTGGCCCTTGCTGACACGTGTTGAGAATGGAGATCGGTGAGTATTCCAGTATTTTCACTATTTTTATCTTTTAGCAGATAGAAATTTTTAACAGAATATGACGAAAAGTGGATATTTATCATTTTTAAATCTTTTGAGTATCACTTTATCTATATAGTAAACTTTGGGTATGTGTAAGTCATTGCCCCTAAAATAAAATAACAAAACAAATATATGATATTATTAGTTATGAATATTTGATAATTCAGAACAAGGCAGCCATCAACTGAATCGTACGTGATAACTTGATTGAAACCTATCTCATCTTCATTAAATTTGAGGATAGGGATAAAAGATCTTCACAAATCAAGATAACGAAAGATCTTCACGAATCAGACAACTTACAACAATAAATTAATGCATTAAATAAATTTTAAATTTTAAATTTTTCAATATTAGAAGATGGAGGCTTATCCTCTTACTATAGACAGTCGTCCTCATAAGAGGATGGACGTCCATAAATAATTTAGACCAAATTTTTTTAGTTTAAATTATGAATAGACATTCATTCTAGATAAACGATCGTCTATATAATATAGACAAGAGTCTATTTTAAATGAACGATTGTCCAATAATAATAAACGATCATCCATATTTGATGAACAGCCGTTCATTTACGAAATATTTGTTAACGTGATAATAACTCATCTGATTCAGTTGATACGTTATTCGATATAAAAATTTAGTATAAAACGTCGGCGTCCGTAGCATTTTTCCCTTAAATATTCCTTTGAAAAAAATATAGTTTTGTTTATAAGTAAAGGATGCTTGCGTGAAATGTGGTTATATAATTTATAATACTTTCTAAGTCCATCCGGTGATGGTATATTCTGTCAATAAAATAAAATAACAAAACAAATATATGATATTAAATTAATTATGAATGTTTGAAAATAATTCAGAACAAGGCAGTCATCAAACGTGACAGCTTGATTGAAACCTATCTCATCTTCATTAAATTTGAGGATAGGGATGAAAGATCTTCACAGATCAAGAAAACGACAGATCTTCATGAATTATGACAACTTACAAAAGTATTCATAACATTGAACTGAAAAGAGTATAAATAAATAGCTTTCCTCTTTGTTGATGCTCGATTTTGCACCAACGAATTTTTACGTGTATAATATCAATTGACTGTTCGATGCACGTGAAAATAGAATATAAGAAAAGTAAAATAGCTGTAGAGGGAGTTTTTTAAGTGGTTCGGACGTTAAGATAGCAAGTCCTACGTCCACTGGTTTGCATTGATATTAGTGGGTGTCAGGTCACGGTCGCGAGCTGACTTACATCAGACGAAAAAGTCAAAGAAAAGTTTACAAGAGAGAGATTTCTGTTTCTTCTTTTTGTATGTAAAATGGCCGAATCCCCTTAATGAAGGGGTCTTCCCTATTTTATACTGAATCGAAGCGTATAATCATCACTAAATCCGTGGTTTGGTGTAATTGTCAGTACATAATCTAGCTTTATGTCCCATTTCCCTTTTTCCAAGCTGACATCGCACGACTTGTTGCAGGAGAATGGACGCGTGTGGGCTCCACATCACTTGGCAGGTCTGACGTGTGCGTGCTGCTCTGACGGGAGCAGGTCGCCCTTCACGTGACTTTCCCACGTCAGCCCTTTATTTCCTGGGGCACAACAGAAGCCCCCTAGTTTTTAAGGTTCGAAGGTCGGACCTTGGAAACTAAANAAGAACTCGGCCCGGCCCAGCACTGAGCATAAAATATACCTGGGTTTGGGTATGAAAAATCAGGCCCAGATGTGGATATATTTTATGAAAATTTGAAAATTACAAATAACCCCTGATCAAATTACGTGGACACCTAAGAAATTTTATATAAGGTAACATTATGTGGAACCCCCTGAAAAAACTACTAGCCCCCATACATCTAGTTAAATTTTCAAAAGTACCCTAATCATTTTAACCAAACCTAAGCCTAAAGCCCAGCGTCACAAATCCCACATCAGAAACACATTAGGGAGGTCTTAGGCTTATAAGACCATCTCCAACCTTTTGATGTTAAACACTATTGCATCTCCAACCTACTAAACCAAATATTACACTAAAAAGAATATTTCTTAGAATATTCTCTTTCTTTTTATTTTATTGTAATAATCAACAATTAATCTATTTCACTCATTATTTTTGTATATATTAATTAAATATAGGGAATGATATTTTTATTAAATAATAATTACTTTGAAAATTATACTAATTTAATAAAATTAAGCATTTATTTAATCAAATAAACATTACATTTAATATAGAAAAACATTACATAATATAAAATGATACCAAAAAAAAAAAAAAAAAGATGTATTGTCTTTTAATTTTAGTGTTTTTAAATTAGTGTTAATTTTTATTTTGAGTTATTGTAATTTAATATTTGCATTGAATAAAGTTTTGTTTTTAATTTTTTATCATTTTTTGAATTATATCATTATTATGAATTTATTATTATAAATATTAACATAAATAGTAATCAAATTAAATTAAATACAAATAATCAAATTTGGTGTGATTTTTTGGGTAAAATTTAATAATCCAATTAACTTAATAAAATTTAAAAAAAAAATTAATAGTGCTACAATGCCACGCCAATTTGGTGTGGCGTTACAATGCTACGCCACTTAGCGCTGGGTTGGAGCAAAAACCCACGCCATTTTGGTGTTTTTTACACCAAAATGGCGTGGGTTAGAGATGCCTTAAAGGAGAGTCCCTCCACCTAATGGGTTAAACTTTTAGATGTGAAACTCTCAGCTCGTGACACCAGACAGGTCCGACCTGGGTGTTGAAAACCCTAGCTTTTTCCTGTTTGTGCATTTTTTAAATTGACCACAAGCGATGATGATAAGTACATGTATGTTATTTCATTTATTAGTTGTCAAGATTATAAGAATAAGTTCACTGACCATCCTTAACTTGTAAAATTTCCGAAATACTGTTACTTATAGATGGTGAAGATCAGAGCATCTCATCTGTAAACTATGTGTATTAACCAAACATGGCCTTCTGAAAGTACTAAGTGCTAATAATCCAAAAGACTGAAGTTCAAGTCCTCCTTTCATTAAGAACTCAGCTTAACATAAATAGCACACTTGATGCCCAAATTTGTTTTTTGTGAAAGCATTCAGGAATCTGTCAACTTAACTACGATGAAAACAAAACTTGGAATTGCTTCATCATTTTTATCATCTACAGAACTTGCCAAAACTGTTTTATCTGCTTGTAACTCTTCCATAAAGGGTCATCTTCAAACTCAGTCTATAAATAAGGCCTTAATACCCTTTATCTCTCACTACACAATAACTCTCCACAAACTATATCATTAGTGCTCTTCTTTCCTATTGTTCTCATACAAACACAGATCATAATGGGTGTGTTCACTTATGAAATTAATGGAGGTTGTTACAAAAATCCCTCCAACGAAGATTTTCAAGGCCTTTGTCCTAGATGGTGACAGTCTTATCCCAAGATTGCGCCACAGGCCATTAAGAATGTTGAACTCATTAAAGGAGATGGAGGGCCTGGCAGCATCAAGAAGATTACTTTTGGCGAAGGCTAGTTTACACCATAATCACTTAAACCCCTTATATGTCATATTTTGCTAACCTCTTATATTTCATATTTTGCTAGTAACATTTTCATCTAAAGTAACAAGTGCTTGTTTTACTTGCTTTGTTCATTGCAGGAAGCCAATTTGATTATGTGAAGCATAAGGTTGAAGCTCTAGACAAAGAGAATTTAACCTACAGTTACAGTGTGATTGAAGGTGATGCATTGATGAAATCACTCGAGAAAATTACATATGAGATCAAGATAGCATCTTCTCCAGACGGAGGATCCATCTGCAAAAGCATCAGCCAGTACTATACCGTTGGCGACTTTGAGATCAAGGAAGAGCAAATCAAAGCTGGCAAAGAAAAGTCTTCAGGATTGTTCAAGGCCCTTGAAGCCTACCTTTTGGCAAATCCTGATGCCTAATAAAGTTACCAATATTAGTATGTTGACAGACTGCTTTGGTTAATAAGGCTTGGCGCCAAGTGGCTTGTATTAATTTTCCACTGGACTAAAGAATCTGTCTTTTATCACTTTACAAATAAAAATAAATGGCCATTGCTACCCTAACAAGCACTCAGAAAAAACCTGAAGACAGTACTAAAGATAATATCACAGGCCACTTGGAATCATAATCATGGTAAATGCAATTTGGATAAAATAATATGTAGAATCCACTTATTATGGTAACTGACCAGCTGGTTCTCGTTACACATTTTCTCAAAATGTCACCTTCGATGGTGCTAGCTGTAGCATAATACAAATTTTTCTTTGTCTATTGCTTCCACCTTGTACTTCATGCAACTGGATTTGCCTCCTGTGCTGAATATTGAAAAATCAGACAGTTAATTATGCAACAAATTATAAGATCTGTATGCCGATCACTGTGTTCTAAACTAACATACACAACGATTTTGTGGCCTTCATAGCATTTAAAAACCAAGAAGCACAAAGAAATCAAGAAATAAGATCAACATATTGCATTTTTGACAACTTGTAAAATTTATTAACAGGGACTAGAGGGGGTAAAGATTAAAGTATCCATCTGTAAGCTATGTGCACCGCAACTATCCAACGTGTTAAGTTGATCAATTAGAAAGAACGAAATAATTAATATTCATCAATAGGTAGTTGTGAGAGAATGCCAAATTTTCTTGGGCATCGTAAAACATGAATACAGAATAATATATAACTGTTTGCATGTAGTAGCTGATGTTTTCATGATAAGGGCCATAAAGAAAGAGCTAATAATTCACTTTAGGTAGAGTAATAAAATATTTGTTAAATAATTATTGCTCCTTAAGGCCGGTTAAAAATAATCCAATACAAATATAAGGCCAAACGAGTTGTGCATACCCAAGGTTTGCTATAATGACAAAGTGGTACTTAAAAGGTTTAGAAATAACAAACAAGTACCTTCCGTCATGTGCTATTAGTTATTTCTGTTTGTTAACAGTGAAAAGACTAAAATGCCCTTGAAAGTTTGATATTTTAATTTTTTATAAATTTCTAAAAAAACCCCCTAGGTTTGCTAATTTAACTAAACACTCTCATATGTAAAAAGTTTGTTAAATGACAAAAACACCCCCACCACTCGCAGTGCCAGATTCCGGCCACCACTGTCGAAATCTGGCCGGAAATTGCGTTACAACACAGACCCCGTTGGATCTGTGTCGTAACGCGTCGATCTGGCCTTTTTCGGCCAGATCAACCAAGCCGTCGACGCTACAGATGGAGTTTTGCGGCCACGACGGCCAGATCTAGCCGTAGATCTGGCCAGAAAAGGCCAGATCTGGCCGTAGAGGCCGCAAAACTCCATCGCTGCCTCGAAGGCCAGATCGACACGTTACGACACAAACCCGACGGGTCTGTGTCGTATGGATTTGGCTGGAAAATGCCAGATCTGGCCGTTGAGGCCGCAAAACTCCATCGCTGCCTCAAAGGCCAAATCGACACGTTACGACACAAATCTGACGGGTCTATGTCGTAACGCAATTTCCCGGCTAGTTTCCGACGGTGGTGGTCGGAATCTGGCACTGTGGGTGGTGGGGATGTTTTTATCATTTAACAAACTTTTTATATATGGGGGTGTTTAGTAAATTAGCCAACTTAGGGAGTTTTTTAGAAATTTTTAAATTTATAAAAAAACTAAAATATCAAACTTTTAAGGGCATTTTAGTCTTTTTACTATGAACAAACAGAAATCACTAACAACACATGACGGAAGGTACATGTTTGTCGTTTCCAAAACTTTTAGGTACTAATTTGTCGTTACGGCAAACCTTGGGTATCATTCAGCCCATAAAGATTACATTGAGATGTTGTTTTGTGTATCCTTGTACCAGAGCTTATCTGTAAAGGAACACAACTTGTGGAAGAAAGGATTAAAATAAGATTGGAAATATGAGAATAATTCATATTAGCAATAGGAGTATCATTTCCTATCATAACTAGAAAATTTCTAAATGTACCAAGGTTACGAGAGAGGATGCGTATGTGATATGAGAAGAATATTAGAAGTTAAATTTGTTCCATATCGCCAAGTTGGTAGGCTGTTATGATATATATATATATATAGTTGTACTTCATTTTTTCCTTGAGTTAGTTTTTGAGCGTGAGTTTTACTTAAGAATACATTATGTTTATTATTCTTAGAATAAAAATTATGGCGGATTATAGAGTAATTAAGTCATATTTGGGTTGATGAACTATTAAGTTGCAATATGTTAACTTTGAAATCTTGATCAGCAAAAATAGCCACCTTAGAAATTTACCAAAATGCAGTTTTTTCTGGATTTTTTCCATGAGATGTATCAGTTTTTATACATGGATTATTAAGCATTTAATAGAGAATAAGCACAAAGAAAGAAATAAGATCAGCATATTGCATTTTTACCAACTTGTAAAATTTTATTAACCCGAACTTACGAAGATTTTCTCGATTTATTCGTAGTTTCTTTTGCTTGAGCTTAAGGTTGAATAATCGTTCCCAAAAATTGGAAATGAAAATAAAGTAAATACCAAATACCTAGAAAGGAGGGTTAAAGAAAATCCATTAACCATTAAATATGGAACTTGATTATTTGGTAATGAAATTTGGACAGACATAGATGATCCATCTGTAAACTATTTGCAGTGCAACTATTAAGGAAGTTCTAATGACCCAATAACTCATTTTCAAGTCCTTTCACTTGGTTATTAATAACTTTGTTTAACATGGACTGCCCACTTTGATGCCCAAATTTGTTCTTTGTGCAATCATTCTGGAATTCCAGTTAACTATTCAGAAAAAGATGCAGGTTATATAGTACAAAACTTGGAATCAATTTATGCAATTACAGAAAAATATTGCTTGAAGAACTATTGATGTTATCTAACCACATTGGAAGTATCCAATAAAATATGAAAAAGTTGCCCAAATTTTCTTCCATCTGCCAGAGAAACTGCAAACTCGAGTGTATAAAAAAGGCCTCAATTTCCTTGATCTCTCACCATTAAAGCTTTCTAAGAACCAATCAACCTTCCTCCTCATTTTCATTGTCCTTGTTTCAATTATCTCTAAACACAAAGGTTATAATGGGTGTGTTCACTTATGAAATGGAGGTGGTTACAAAAATCCCCCCAACTAAGATATTCAAGGCCTTTGTCCTTGAAGGTGACAGTCTCATCCCCAAGATCGTGCCACAGGCCATTAAGAATGTTGAATTCATTCAAGGAGATGGAGGGCCAGGCAGTATCAAGAAAATTACTTTTGGCGAAGGCTAGTTTACACTATAATCACTTAATCATCTTATGTCATACTTTTGCAAGTAACATAAATCCAATTTAACAAGTGCTTGTTTTACTTGTCTTTTGTCAATTGCAGGAAGCCAATTTGACTATGTGAAGCATAAGGTTGAAGCATTAGACAAAAAGAATTTGACCTACAGTTACAGTGTGATTGAGGGTGATGCACTGATGAAATCACTTGAAAAAATCACTTATGAGATCAAGATATCATCTTCTCCAGACGGTGGATCCATCTGCAAAAGCATCAGCAAGTACTATACCGTTGGCGACTTTGAGATCAAGGAAGAGCAAATCAAAGCTGGCAAAGAAAAGTCTTCAGGATTGTTCAAGGCCCTTGAAGCCTACCTTTTGGCAAATCCTGATGCCTAATAAAGTTACCAATATCAGTATGTTGAGAGACTCTGTTTTGGTTAATAAGGCTTGGCGCCAAGTGGCTTGTAATTTTCCACTAGAATAAAGAGTCTTTATTGTATCACTTCACAAATAAATATATGAAAATAATAATAATAATAATAAATTCTTGCGGTTAAGCTATATATATATATATGACACTAGAAAACGATGAGTGTATTGTCTTGAGATTATATCAAGAATAGTTAATGTAGATCAAACTGGGAACTTGATTAAAATATCCAACAGAATGGCAATTTATTGAGACACTCACCTTATAATTGGTGCATATTTATTGAACAAACTCTAGCTTTCAAGCTTCGACCAGACATTTAAACCAAAACATGGTGAATAAACAAAAAGAAAAGAAAATATCACAGTATGACAGAATCCTGAATAGCGACCAATTCGAAACTGGTTAAGTGAACTTTAGGCATAGAGGTCAGGGTTTGCCAAGAGATGTGCTTCCACAACCTTGTACAATTCCACTGCTTTTTCTTGGCTTGCCTTGAAGACTTCTTCTTTAATTTCATGATCACCCTTTGTATGGTATTCACTGGCCACCTTACAAACGCTTCCACCATTGTCAGAAGAAGCCTCGAATTTAACCTCGTACACAATTGATTCAAGCTTATCCCCCAAACTGTCGCCTTCAATCAAAGTGTACTTGCACACAAAGTTCTCTTTGTCGAGTACGTCGATCCTGTGCTTCACATACTTGTAGTAACTTCCTGTCAATCACATTAATCAAAGTGCCATCAGTTCATCTTAATGTTAAAAAATACAAAGCAATACGTTCATTAAGAAAAATTCATTTCACCGGACTAACCATCTGGGAAGTTTATTAGCTNAAAATAGATTAGAGAAGTGATTTTTAGCATCCACCTACTTAATCAACGAGCAATGTAATTTAAATCCTACCAAATTTCTTTCTATATCTCGATAATATTTTTTGGGAAAACTAGTTAAAAACTTTTGACAAATTCAATACGTTTATTTAATCGGTTTAGTAGATAAAACCATTCATTTAGTTTTGTTCCATTTTTACCCCTCCACAACTTACCTACCCTCACTCTAGCAACTCTAGCATTAGAGGCATTAGAGTCAGTCTAGCACTAGAGTAGCGGCTCCACTTGACTTGAGCATTAGAACCTTTTTTTTTTTTTACAATTATTCTCCACATTATCCTTAGAAATTAAATATTAAAATTTCTTTAAACTAATAGATAAATTAGCTAATTATATTTTATAAAAAAATAAAATAAATGTTTTTGAAAAGGAATAGTAAATGTATATAAAATTTATTGTAACTTCGTAAAAATAAGAAATGTAATAAAAATATTAATATATTTTTTTCACTTTAATGCTAGAGTTGACTAGAATCCAGCATTAGTAGAGATGGCAATGGGCTCCATATTTTTGGGTATCTAGCCCTGCTTAAAAAGCTCGGGCTTTACCCTAGGTCGCGGGTTTAGGCTTGGGCTTAGGCCTAGGCCTGATTTTAAGGCCCGACCTCAAGTACGGACCGAGCTTAGGTATGTCTTCCGGCCTAGCCCACCAATTTTAGTATTAATTATACTAAATTACTCTTATATTATATATTTAATTACAAGATTATCCTACATATATATATTCATTTTTTCCAAACCCTACATGGATGGATAGATGCACTTTGTGGAAAGTTATTTATATATTTGGTGAGTATTCAAAAATAAATTAATATTTAAAAATTGTTTCCTGAATTAAAAATATAAAAAAATTGAAATTTATTAATATTTAAAAATTCACATTATAAAAATGAGCAGGCTTGGGTCGGGCCTGAGGTTACAAAAAGCCTATCGAGCTAGGCTTGGGTTTTACTTATCATACCCGTGATCGGGTTGGGTTGGGCTTGAGCCTTTGTCATGAGGTCAGGCTTGGGCTTGGCCCAAGAGGTACCTGGTCTCGGACCGACCCACTGCCATCACTAAGCATTAGAGTGGAGCCACTTGGTGCTAAAGTGAAGACGGCAAAAGTAGAAAGAAATTGGATAGAAGATCTTATTTACTAAGCAAATTAAGGAAGATTTATTTCTATTTTCTTACAAAATAATATATATATTAAACTTATAATAAATAATAAGGGTCTTTATTTTTTTAATACACCCATGTTTTAAAAATTCTGTGTTTTTTTTTTTTTTTTNTAACTCGGTTTTGTTTTTAGAGTGATCAAAAGTATTCTATAGGATTGACAAATATTACTCTCCAATGAAACTCTCATATTTCCTGAATGCCGCCAGAATCACTTTCAAAATTTGACTTATAATTAGAGATGAGTAGTGAATTTTTTAGGTCTATAATAATCTCTCCTCTCTACAAATCTTTCAAGATCCTGCACAATGCTGCTTTTAAGATCTGGCTCAGTGGCAAGTGTATCAGATGTTGCAGGATGATCAAGATTAGAGATGGGCATTTGCCCCGGGCCTGCGAGGATCCGTCCTGACCCGGCCCATGGTCCTTAGTTATGTCCCCGCATCCGGGGACGGGCCGAAGAAAGGGATAGTGCAATCCCCGCCCCCCTGGAGCCCCGGCTGCCCCGCTTTTTTTAGATTTTTTTCGTTTTTTGTTTCCTTTACAAAATTGTATATAAAGTTAAAGTTTAAATCATAATTTTAAGTAATGTATCTAAATTTATGATATATACTTTTATAATATTTTATAATGTTTGTATTAAATTTATAGAAAAGTAATTTAAACGAGGGAGTTTAATAATTAAATATATGTATTATTACTTTGTGAATTTCACAAAGTAATAATACATGGGACATGGCCCAAAAATAAATTTAATTAGATTATTACAATTTACACACCAATATAAGAACATATACAATTGCTTAACAACTTACAAATTACACAAATTCAATTATCCTTGTAATTAATTAATTGATCGATTAAATATGATGTTAAACTTAATCAAATGATGGGATTTGTCCCTTCCACATATGGACTAATTTTATTAGTTGTAGTGGACATAGTGTTTTATGAATTAATTTATCAATTTACCTAGTAAATTATGTTAAGATTGAATTTAGTTATGTTAATTTCATGAAAAATTAATTAATTAACATGGCTAACTAAACCTAAGCCTCCATACAATTGAATAACTAAGCAATTTACCTAATAAATTATGTTAAGATTGAATATAATTATTGTATTAATTCTTGATTTCTTGTTGGAGTTGTCTGAGTACTCCAGCGGCAACAATCCAACATTTTAACTTTCTGTAAATGGGCCCTGGCTTTTTCCAGTCGTTCAATGGCCCCTCCCTGTCATTCTTTTGAATTTCAAATAGTATTTAAGATCTTTAGTTTTCGATTATCTAATAAATTACTTAATGAAAGTAGATTATCGTTCCAACTATTTCGAAATTGGATGACATTTAACTTTAACAAATTGTTAAGCAATTAGAAATATATGGTTTACAAGCTTTTTGAACTGTGAATGACATAGACACATAGTTGCAACAATGTAGCCTAAATGATGATTATATTTTATTGTTTGAAATCCATGAGTATGTTCCAATTTTTACCAAGAAATAGTTATTCACCATATTCAATTATTCATATCAATTTGCTTTTTAAATCTTAATTTAAATTTTACAAGAAATTGTTAGATTTTATATTTTCTTACCTTAAATTATGTCTTTTTAATTAATTAAGTCAATTAACTATTGAAATTAAACTGTCAAATTGTTAAATATAATACTTATCAATATACTAGTTTTTCACAATTAAAATAATTAATTTAACGGAAAGTTTTGATTTACACGGGGCAAAAATCCCCGTGAAGCCCCAGTTATCGAGACGGGACGGGTATGGTCATGATTTTGTCCCTGCGAGCCAGGGATGGTCATGAGAAAAATCCCTGCCTGCGGGGATGGGCCGGGGATGGTCCTCAGAGAGGGTAACGGGGATGGGCCCAGGGCATGGGTTCCTCGGCTTGCGCCCATCTCTAATCAAGATTCACCGGTACCCACATATGGTTCACGAAGCCGAAACAAGCATAATCAGGATCAAGAGTGAAGATTTTTGAGCTCTTGCTCTCCTGCTTCATTGACTTAGCGTCTTTGTATTTATGAGGGAAGGTGAGTTCGAAAGCCCTAATCTCGAGTCCATGACTACTAGATTTCTGAACGAGTTTGGGGTTTACTGGTCTACAGACAAAAACCCACTTGAGTTTAACTCCATTAAAGACATCGACTACTTCTTCATCCATTCCTAATTAAATTTGGATTGGATAAACAAGTTTACTATTTGCTCAAATGGAGGGAAAAGCTACTGGTTTGGCGATACTATTTTTTATCGCTCAAACAGAACTGGATTTCATTGGCTTTGGGCTTCCTACGCGGTAAAATCTTAATCTTAAAATCACCCGATTCTTAGAGTTTACACTATGAGCTATACACTTTGGGCCCAAACAATATAAGATTACCCCGAGGATAATGTAGGACAAGCCCGAAAAGACAATATAAAGCAAAAACCCTAACCTATAGTCTCCAAGTCCAACCACCCTGAACCTTCAAGCGTTCACTTTGCACCAGTAAGAAGAGTATCCAGGAGACCCCATTGATCGCTCAACATACAATGAAGATATATTTGAAGAATGGGACGTTCGGCCTAATAGTTGGTTAACTGAGAGCTGCATTAAGAGATGTCAAATATCCCAAGCTATTATTGTTTGAAGAAGAGTAATATTGCGTAATAACACTGCCACATATAATATATTCAAAACAGTTTGAAACTATGTCATGTTTAATTAACAAAATTACAGGAGTAGAAAGAAGAAAATACNTGTTTGGATTAAAATAATTAATTAAATAATTAGTATGACTCTAAGTTTGTTTTTGTTATTAATTTAAGTTTGATTATAAAACACTTCCGTTTCTTAATATGCCATAAGTTGTCATATTATAATATTATAATTAATTAAAAATCTAATCATTTAATTAAGTAATGGTTATCAATTTATTATATATGATCACCATAGATATGCTTAGAATTTGAAAATTAAGTAAATCCTAATTATATAATTCTAGTAATAAACACCCTTTCAATGGCCAATCATACACTAAATTAATCAAATAATTAATGAATCCATGTGTTGACTAATCTATTTCGATTCTCTTAATGACGTACCTCAAAACTTTATAATATTTAATAGCTTTTACAATAAGATTAATTTTATAAATAATATCTAAAATTATATGCTAAAATAAATTTATCATACAAGAACGTAATGATATATACAAACTTTGGATTATATTTGGCAACTACTTTGATTTAAAATTTTATATATAAAATCTATTTTCCAAAAACATTTTAAGTACATTTTTTAGTAAAAAAAATACCATTTACAGAAAAAACATGTTTCTTTGGAAACCCAGTACACATAATTTTCTCAATTTTTTTAAAATCAATTTCAACTAATTTAAATAGAAATATTATTATTTCAACTACTTAGAATATTTATTATTTTAACAGATAATTAATTATTTAATTAAACTTATTTTAAATAATAATAATAATAAGAAAAAGAAAAAGAAATTCACCTGTTTTCAGAAAAAACATTTTCAACATTCTCAAAAAAACAGAAAGTTTCATTTTCTTGCAAATACCCCCCCTCAGAAAAACAAAATTGTTTTCCAAGTGTTCATATGATTTTCCGAGTCATTCACGGCGTGAGTCTCTTTGTCTTCTCCCTTCTTCTTCTTCTTCTTCTTCACCTACAAAAACCCCTCAAAACGAACCATTTCAAGCTGACTCTGAGCTGAAACAAAATGAAGAAACTAAAGACTTATTACATGCAAATACGACACAACAATACTCACCAAACGACAGTCGAAAGAAAATGGATTTTCCCTCTGGCAATCGGCTCAATAGTCTCTTTGTTCCTCCTCTTTCTCACCACTTTAACTTCACCAGACGGCACTCCGTTTCTGCCTTTTTATCGTTCAATTTCGTTTTCTGGGTCTTCAGTTTTTGTTGAATCTAAACTTCAGACTATTCCCATTTTAAACCTCCCTCCGCCTCCGCGTTTCGCTTACATGATCTCTGGATCTGTGGGCGACGGTAACATGATAAAACGCACTCTTTTGGCGCTGTATCATCCAAATAATGTTTATGTTCTTCATTTGGATAGGGCGTCGTCTGATGCCGAGCGTTTAGATCTAAAGAACTTTGTCAATGAGCACCCTTTATTTGTGCAATTTGGGAATGTTAAGGTGATTGCTAAGGCCAATCTCGTGACTTATAGAGGCCCGACAATGGTAGCCAATACGTTACATGGGGCTGCTATTTTGTTGAGGGAAGGTGGAGAATGGGATTGGTTTATTAATCTTAGTGCGTCTGATTATCCACTTGTGACTCAAGATGGTTAGTGAATTTTGTTTTTCTTTTTTTGAGATTAATGATGTTTGTGAATCTGGGTTTGGTTTAGTTTTGATTAAGTTCGGTGGGATTGATCTAACTGTGATTAGTGAAGTGAGGTGTTTTTTGTTGTTAAATTGTGGTTTTTTAATCTGAGTTTCGATCTGTTTTTGATTAATTTTGGTTTGTTTCCGTGGGTTTGTGCTTGTTAGATCTCCTGCATACGTTTTCCTATTTGCCGAGGGATCTGAATTTCATTGATCATACTAGTAATATTGGGTGGAAAGAGTGAGTTTTGATTCACTTTGTTTTGTGTTTTTGTTGGTTTTGATTTTAATTTTGGACCTCACTTGTGTAGTCTGATTGTGCGTGTGGTAGGTTCCAGAGGGCGAAACCGATAATTGTAGATCCAGGGTTGTATATGACAAAGAAAGCTGATGTATTTTGGGTTACACAGAAGAGGAGTGTACCATCTGCATTCAAACTCTTTACAGGTGCAAATTTTAGCTTTTTTAAGTGGTTTTTGTTTATGCATAAATACTCTTGTTTATGTCTCTTACTATGACTTATTATCTATTTATTTTGTACATTGTTTGAAATTTGTTTCGTTTTAAATTTTCACTTGTGAACTTGTTTGTCAATGTGAAGATGAGATTTTGAAAAAGTTGTCAAGAAAACTGGGAACTTATGCAAGATAAATGGTTGAGAGCTGCTGAGTTGTGCAGGCGTTTTTTAGTTTACTGCCATTGATAATTATGAAGGTTCTAACAGTGTCAGGGTCCATTGACTGAATCATAATATATGGATATCTTTCTCATAATATAGTGTGGATGCATCAATTTTGCATGAGTTTGGTAATATATGATTTTTTTTTGGGATCTCAATTGAAATGGGATTTCTTAGAAAAGTTGAGACAGTTCAGAGAACTAAATCCAAATTTTGATCTAAAACAGGGGACAGATATGTTGAAGAGCTGCTTAAAATCATACAAGTTTTCCATGTTATCTGAATTGGTAGATTCATGTTGTGAATTTAGCATTAGTTGGAATGAAAATTATAACTGGAGGGTTGGCAGGTTTTTTGTCAAAATACAGGTGTTATGCTGGCTGGGATGAGTCTTATTTTTTCTTCTTTACCAACAGTTGCAGAATTAAGGAAACAATATATAACTTTTCTCAAATAATTTGAACTAGGTAAAATTTAGTAGGGAATTCTTGTCCTTTATGACTTCGACATTCTTTCTAATACTCGGCCTTGTAATCCTAGTAATGGTAAATGACCCACTTTTTAGTTGTTGTCATGTTAAAATTAGTTGATCTGATTCTTCAAGGTTAGAACCCACAGCATCAAGGTCATATACATGTTACCTGCATTCAGCTGAATCATGCACTTTTGTGTAACATTTTGCTACCCCTTATGCGCTTGAAACATATATAGATATCTTCTTAGAGATGATTACTGTTTTTGCACAAATTATATATTAGAACAGAATGGCAGGGAAAGTGAGTAATAATTTAGTTGGTCGACAAGTTTGGGGAACTCATCATCTATTTTGACTGTCTTTTTACGTGAAGTTATTTGGAAGAAGCATGTTGAATGAATTATTATGTGATGCTATGATGTAACTTGCCCTTTAGGATAGGTGCATAGCATTGATTTTCTATGGCTTTGCTTGTTCATAGGGATCACAATATTTTCTAAGATCATATCTTTGCTCAAGTTGCATTTACTTTGTGAGATGATTTGACCATTTGTTCTCTAATTGCTTCACAATAGTGTATGTTATTCTCAACTATCATGTGATATTTCATATTTCATCAGTCATTGGTAAATTTCATTTGTTAATTTCAGAATTGTAGTTCCTGTCCCTTTACTAGTTTGATACTTTGTTTCTATTAGCCTCTACTAGGTTATGTTTAGTAGCTTGTCTTCCTTAAGTCGGGTTTGAACAAAGCTCATATACTTGAATGGTGCTTGACACTTGAGGTTCTTACTAGGTCCCAGTTGCAAATCATATTACTTTTTGTGGGTGGGTTGCTGAAACCAAACGTATACATTTTTCTGTCATAGGTTCTGCTTGGATGGCACTTTCTCGGCCTTTTATTGATTACTGCATCTGGGGATGGGACAACCTACCACGGACTGTCCTTATGTACTATTCAAATTTCTTATCATCTCCAGAAGGTTACTTCCACACTGTCATTTGTAATGCTCAAGAGTTTCGTAACACCACTGTCAATACTGACCTCCATTTCATATCATGGGACAACCCTCCTAAGCAGCATCCTCACTACCTTAACGTTGCTGACATGAAAAGGATGGTTGACAGCAATGCCCCATTTGCGAGGAAGTTCCCTCGCGACAATCCTGTGCTTGACAAAATTGATTCTGAGCTCTTGTCCCGAGGTCCAGGAATGGCTACTCCTGGTGGTTGGTGCATAGGAACAGGGGCAAACGGAACAGATCCGTGTTCTCTTATTGGTAATGTCACTAGCCTCAGGCCTGGCCCTGGAGCAAAACGGCTTGAAAATTTGATAAGCTCTCTGTTATCAAGTGAGAAATTCCGGCCAAGACAGTGCAAGTAACAAGAACCTAAGTCAACTTTAGCAGGTGCTTCCCATATATTTTGGGTTAGTCTATATCAGAAGACGGATATGACCAAGTAATCAGTTTACCTACTAGTAGGGGAGATAGAAATTAAGCATGCAGAAAGTATACACGATCTCTGGTTTATAGGGGTGGATTCTCTGGTTGGTTTATACAGTCACACGAAAGAGATGGATTTGCCGGAAAGATTTCAGCTACAGACCCAGGAGTACACCTGTAATATTCCGGTGTAAGTGACCGAGC